GAGAGAGAGAGAGAGAGAGAGAGAGAGAGAGAGAGAGAGAGAGAGAGAGAGAGAGAGAGTTTTCAGAAGAAAGGAGGGAGGAAAGGAAAGGGCTAGGAAGTCGTACCGAGAATCAAATGTGATTTCGCGTTTGTGCTACGACCATGGAATGATTGTGATTGCCTAACTTATGGTGCGGCGTGTTAGGGTCCACAACCTGCTATAAGGGAACTAGGGAAGGGCAGGTTTATGTTAGGTGGTTTAGGTCACATGGAAGGAGGCTCAAACCACCAGCCAGTACTTCCTGAAGTCGTGCCCGTTAACGAGCCACAATTTTAGGAAACGTACGGGCTACTACAGGAGCGCCCAAACGTTTCTACTCGATTTTTTCCGCGTACGATAGCTTGGCCAAGTACTGGTCGTTCAACAAAGGAAACCAAAAGGTGGGGGAACTCAGATGAGCACACATCCAAGTTATACATCATGTCACGGCACGTCATGATATATACCGCTACTCACTCCACACGCCACATTACTCAGCAGCCATCTCCTACCAAAACCCTAAACCCTAAACCAGAACCCTAAACCCTCAGCAGCCACTAACTTTGTGCGCATTAATTTTGGTGTGCCACTAACTTTGTGCACATCCAAGTTAATTTTGTCTTTTTTAAGCAACACCATGTCGTGCGAGCAACAAAGTGTGAATTTTTTTAGTTTTTCACGAGTAGGATTCTGAGTTTTGGTGTGCCATGATCATGGCATATGATGTTATCAATTACAATGTACATGGTCGGTTCTGAAGACCGAAATAATTGGCCACTAGGCCAAATGCCACAAATTTAAATACACTTTGTAGTACAAACGACAAAAACTTATCAAAAAGTTGAAAAAAATAATATACGCGTAGTTCTCTGCAGATGTCAGATCCCGACACGGCGCTTCATATGTCTCTAATCTCTAATCTTTGATCTCTCGTTATTATCTATAATAATAAGAATATTACATAATTATTAATTATATAATTTATATTGTTTTAAATGTTTTTATATCTTAAAGCGATGATCTGGTCTATTGTGACAGGTGCTTTAGGAGAGAGCTGATGAATTGAAATCCTGAATGGTTTCTAGTCAGCAGTCTACGAACCCCTAATAACAACCCCTTAAAGCCAAATGACACTTGATTATGGGTTGTATAGGTTAGAGAATAGTCTCTCTAACCCCTTATAATGATCTCTTATAGCCAAATGACAATTTTTTAGGGGTTAGAGAAGTCAGAGACTAGACTCTCTTTCCCCTAATAACAATCCCTTGGAACCAAATGACACACTTTATTAGTGATTATTTCGAGACTAGAGACTGGAACCCATAGTAAAGCGAAGACGGAGGCTCTCTCTTGTGACAGTGGGGTTGGTTTGGGAACAGACCTGGCGAGTCCTAATCCTGAGACCTGACGATTTCAAATCCCGAACCGACTGCCACATACATACATGTAGCTGTTGGTAAACAGGTCATGGGTTCAAATCCTGGTGTCAAACACATGCAGCTACCGTCTTCCCCCGAACACAACACACCCTCATTTTGGCTGTATCTGGCCGGAAATATATCTTGTATACATTCATTTTTGGGGTGCGTTATGTTCGGGGGAAGAGGGTAGCTGTTGCTAAGCAGGTCATCGGTTCGAGTCCTGAAAGTTGCACACACATGTAGCTGCTGATTATAAACAGGGTCATGATTTCCCAATCTTGTACACACATGTAGTTGTTGGTAAACAGATAGACGATGCTGCACTGCCTGTCACCCCCTCCTCTGCTCTCTTAGCCTCGTCCGCCATCTTTTTT